ATAACTCAGTAAAAGAGAAGAGTCAGTCTTTTGGGTTGTAGATTTTTACAAAATATTGATAGTGCAATGTGTTTGTTGACAAGAAGAGAAAGTAAAAAGAATAACTAAATTACAAAAAATCATTATGAAGATTTAAAACTTATATTGCACAAATTTTTGTTAGATTTTAGTTGTTGGAGTTAAAAAGACCTTGTTATATTCATTTGGTCATTGCCACTGTTAATATAGTAGACATTTTGCTTAGTGAATAATTTTCTCATGTTTTCAATAACAAATATAGAATCACAGAATATGCTGAGATGAATCAGAATCATCAAGTCCAACTCCTGGTCCTGAGGAGGACACCCCACGAGTCACACCATGTACCTGAGAGTATTGTCCAAATGCTGCTTGAAGTCAGGCAGGCTTGGTTCTGTGACTACTTCCCTGGGTTCCAGTGCTCAGCTACTCTTTGGGTGAAAATCTTTTTCCCGATATCCAATATAAATTCCCCCAAATCAGCTTCATGCCATTTCTTCGAGCGCTGTCACTGGTCATGAGGGTGAAGCCTCTCCACTTCCCCTCATGAGGATGCTGAAGACTGCAATTAGGTCTCCCCCCAGTCTTCTCTTCTCAGGCTGAGCAAACCAAGTGACCTCAGCCATACCTTATGCGCCTTCCCTCCAGACCCTTCACCATCCTTTTAGCCCTACTTTGGACACTCTCTAATAACTTCATGTCTTTCTTATATTGTGGTGCCCAAAACTGCACAATATTCAAGGTGAGGCTGCATCAGTGCTGAGCAGAGCAGGACAATCCCCTCTTTCTATCAGCTGGTGATATTTTGCCTGATGCAGGACAGGGTTGGCCCCCCTGCTGCCAGGACACTGCTGACTCATATTTAACTTCACCAAGACCCACAGGTCCCTTTCTGCTGCACTGTTCTCCAGTCAGCTGAGACCTCTCTAGATTCCCAAGACTGCTTAAAAATCCTTGAGAGGAGCTTTGTGATGACATCAACTAGCTCTAAGAGGATTCTGGGATGAATCCTGTCAGACCCCATAGGTTTGTAGGGATCCAGCTGGAGCAGCAGATCTGGCACAATTTCAGAGTTAACTGGGAGTTACTCATTCTCACAGTCATGGTTCTCCAGCTCAGGACACTAAGACCCCCTTGGTTCATCATCCATCTTGAAGATGGAAGAAAAGAAAGCATTAAACACCTCTGCCTTGTCTCTGTCCCTGTTTGTGAGGTAACCATTCTCATCCTGTAGTGGGCCACTGTTATTTTTATACTTCCTTTTGCCATTAATATATATGAAAAAACTCTTTTTCTTGTCCCCCACATTTCTGGCCAGCTTCAACTCCAGTTGAGCTTAAGCTGCAAAAATTTTCGCCCTACAGATGCAAGCAGCATCTCTGAATTCTTTGCATGCCATCTGACCTTGTTTCCACTAGGCATACACCTTCTTTTTTTATCTTATTTTCAAGACAAGATCCAAAATCAGCCAACCTGGGTTCATCTACTTAATCTGCTTGACTTGTAACACTCCTGTGCTCTTAGGAAATGAAGTCTTAAAAGTGACCAGCACTGATGGACCCCAGCACCTGTAAAAACATTTTCCTAGGGGACTTTAATTACTATTTTCCCAAGTAGTCTGAAGTCTGGTCTCCTCATGTCCAGAGCTGAAGTTTCACTGACACTTTTCCTCTTGTCAACAGAGATTTTAAATTTGATCACTTTGTGGTCACTGTGGCCAAGATAGCCACCAATCTCCACTTTGCAAATAAGATCCACTCTGTTGACAAGCAGCAGATCAAGGAGGGCATCTTTCCAAGTTGGGTCCCTTAGGTCCTATTCCATTAAGTTGTCATCCAGGTTTTTTAAGAAACTTCTGGCCTGGGTTGTACCAGTTATGTAATGATCCCAGTTAATTTCTGGCAAGTTGAAGTTCCCCATAAAGACAAGGGCAGTTGACTTGGAAGTGTCCCTTAGTTCCTCAAAGAATAATTTGTCAGTGTTATCCTCCTGGCTGGGAGGTCTATAATAGACTCCCAGAATGACATCCACTTTATTTGTTTGCCCCTTGATTTTCACCTAGAGGCTCTCAACTGTGCCATTGCCAACTGTGAGCTTCACACATTCTAGCCCTTCTATTGCATACAGTGCCACCCCTCTGCCTCTTCTGCCCAACCTATCCCTGTAACCTGTAGAGAAGGATAACCTGTACAACCTGTAACCATTCAACAGGGCACTGCAGTCACGCGTCTCATCCTACCAGGTTTCACTTATACCAATGATGTTTAAGACATTCATTGGCCCGATGGATCTGCCTGTCTGGACTTTACAACAACTCTTGTTTTATGGTAGTTATATCTCATTATGAATTCCCTGCATTTGAGTCTTTTCAGAATTATCAGTATATAGATTGTCATGTAACTAAAATAGGTAAAATTAATCATAATTTAAAATGATAATTATTTTTTCTGACCTATATTTTATTTAAATCAATATTATTCATATATTTTTGCATAAAAATTCATGGAGAAATAAGAGAGAATCTTCACATCTGTGAGAAGTTGAGATAATACTTTATAGAGTTTCAGTTATGTAAATGATAATCTAAATGGTGCCCAAACCATAATTTGCAAGAGACAGATGATGAGAGGCAAATTGATGCACTCATTCAAAAACCATGTGGACAAAATCAAGCATCTGTTAATAGTAATTTTTTTTTGTTTCTTGAACTATGAGGAATATAATAATTGAAATCAGTCCCTGTAAAATTAAAAGTTTTCAAGCACAGTTTTAGTTGATTATGTCGACACAGCCTGGAAGTAAATTTTGTACTCAGTAACATCTTCAACTAGAAATTCTGAAATCATTTATCAGAATCTGATAATTGTTTGTAAAGTGCGCTTGCAAATCTAAATGTATTTATAGGTAAAGAGAGAATGAATTGCATATTGACCTCAGAATGTAGAGGAAACATTTATGTGGCTTATTTATGTGTTCTGAAATAGCTGAGTCTCTCATCTCTAAGTGTCTTAAGATATGTCCTATGGTTAAGACTAAAACTTTTGCTATTAGACAAAATAAGAGGCTTGCTTTCATCTTTGAAAGAACCAATAAAACTATTGTTTGAAAGGAGGAGTCATATAAATGTTAAAGTTGAGGGACATTAAACTCCTATCTAGAATATTTTTGTCTTCTGAAAGAACTATATGATTTTCACTACAAGGTGTTAAGTGGAGTGCTTCGATATACATATATTATTTGACAACAAATAAGAAAAAACATTTCTTGGTTGTTAGTTTATAACCTATAAGCTATGAGACACAGTTTGGTATCAATAAAAAAAAATTAAATTAGGAAGTAAGAAATCCTCCATTAACCTGGGATACTGTTCTTAAGTAGACATTGTTGTAAAACCAAAATGAAGAACTATTAAGTTTCAAAGTGATTGTATGCTGTCAATCCTTCCTAAGATATAATGAAAAAAAGAATCTAAGAAAATATTCTAAAATTTCAACTCAATATAATATTATAATCTATCATTTGAAAGTTCTTCAGATGATTTCTCCTTCATAAATTCTTATACAGGTTCATAGTTATGCTGTGTTTAGCCCTGTGTTTCCTAGACGCCAGAATTTGCCATGGGTAGGATGACTATTGGAAAAGGTAGATGTATAATTCCAGCATTAGCAGAGCTATTCTGAAAAGTGGTGGAAATCTAAATTTTTACAGGAATTTTGCATCTATTACTTTCCCTTTATTTCAGTGATTGCTTGAATTAGTCTCTTTCATAACATATTCATACTCATGATAAAATCACTTTATACCTCTCAGATAGTGTGAAGTCTACAGAATATGTAATATTTTTTTTTGTCAGTTTTATTAGTCCTTTCCTAGTATAAATTTATTAGAACATAACTGAGAACCAGACTCTCTATTTCCTCATTTGGGGCTTTTACACACTTCCTCCTAATGCTTTTGTCTTACACTAAGCAACATATAAAACCCTGAAATTTCTGCTAAAATTTTTTTTTTTAATGGTTTTCTGTTTGGTTTGGTTTGGGTTTTTTGGTTGATTTTCCTTGGAAAGTATAGCTTTTCTCAAGTGTTTCCAGGGTAGTAGTTTTTTCTAAAGCATTCACTTTGTGAATGTCACTTAGTGACATAGTTACTAATTCACCCAGACTTTTCTATAGCAGAGAAATTCTGAATAAAAAAATAAAATATTCATGAATATTTTCATAAAACTAGTCTAATCTTTACAGAGACAATGTCACACTGAGATAGAATTCATGCCATTATTGTAAATTTTTTAAGCATTCTATATACTTTACTTTGAATTACAGAGCATCAAATTGAAACTGAAAAAATATATTAAAATGCTGTGTATGGTTGGTAACTATATTAACCCTTATGAAGAACATAAACTACAGTTCTTACCTACTGGCAGTAACTGCATTCTCTTACAAAATCTGAAATGCTAAAAGCAACAGAACTGTAATCACTCTAAAAGTCTTTCTAAATATTATCTAATTTTTCAAAATATTCTAAATTGTGCGAATGAAGTAATTCTCCTCTATTCTCACAGTATGCTGTTATATAATAATTAGCATTTCAATTTGTACTAATAGCTTTTTAAAACAGCAACCTGTTTTAAGAACTTAGAGCTGTGCAAAAATTGCATAGCAATATTTGTTTTCCCTTTTACCTCCACTGTAGTCTGTGAGCTATTTTATCTTTGAAAATTTTAAATAAATTGCATTAGAGAGCATGCCTGTATATCACTGTTCCAATGCAGCTCAGGAAATGAAAATATACTAAAAAATCCTGTTCAATGTATTGTATGCACTGTATTATGTTAATTATTTCCCTTGGAACTGGTACTTCCAAAACGAATATGGTACTTGAAGTCTTACATTGTGAAACATCTGCCAGTAAGTCAAGAAATATACCTGAGAAGAAATTTAGGGGCAGAATGCTAATATGTACATGTCCTTTCTTCACAGCTGTGACTTGCCCTAGCATAGAGACTCTGCTCTCAGAACATGTTGTCTGGAGACTGATTTCGGGGTCACTGAATGAGTATGGAGCTCAAGTCATGCTCAGCTGCAGTCCTGGATATTTTTTATTGGGTCAAAGACTCATACAGTGCAGGAGTAATGGAACCTGGAGTGTAGGCAATGAAAGGCCAAGTTGTAAGGGTAAGGAATGTGTTTACAGAATATCTTATGCTTTTTAATATATATATTTTATTTTATAAATAAAGTTTTTAATAAACTATTTTACTATCACATTCTTGTAAGTAAGCAAATGTGAAATTTTCATTAACTTGAAATTAATTTATTCCAACTCTTTAGGTGTTAAGTATAATATATTTCATATGAGAGTTAATGAAGTAGCATCAAGAGATCAACCTGTATTTATTCAACTGGATGGTGCATAAGTAGTTAGAAAATACGAGGAGATAACATTATTCCTTTAGAAGATTCCAGATTAGAGTTAGATTAGAAGATGATATTGCTTTGACCTCTTGGGTGAAGCATTAAAACTATGCTGTTGTAGAAACATGCATATGAGCTTTTATAATACTTTCATACAAAAATACCATAAATTATTTCAGCCCTGACTTTGGATGTTTAAAGTTTTAGAGAAACTTAACATTATCAGTTATATCATACAGTTGTTGAGGGTTACAGTGTCAAATTCTTAATAAATCACTCCAAAACTTCATTTCATTGTTTTGAGAGGGTACTTGAAGCATCAACTGATACTGCAACGCTTAAACTAGAAAGTTTTCCTATGTTATAATAATACTTACAGGCTCTTTCAGTGCCAGAACAGCAGAGAATACCCTAGTATCTGAAGGAAAATAGTCAACTGACAGACCTAGCATACTAAGCAGAACTGAATATAAAATTTAGACAGCAATTTTTTTAGAGTTGTATGTGATTTCAGTAAGATATTGGCAGCAAAGTAGAAAAGAATTCTCAGGATCAGGTGAACAACTAACTAGATTATACCTTCTGGTATTTTTTAAGAAGAGCAAATAGAATCATTCTGCTCTGTCAAACTCTTTAAAGTCTGCAAACATGATAAATGGTACTACAAATTACATTAATGTGCCTGAATCATAGTAAAAAAATAGTCTTACTCATCTCTGGACACCTTCTGTGCCTAAGAAACCATGATCACATATATTCTGATTATGACTGCATTAACTGCATGGTGGCTTGTACTTGATTTTATCCAACTTCTACCCAATACCATGTTGTTTTTTATAGTTAACCTTTTAAAATATAGAATAATGGGGCCTTGAGGTTTCAGATAGGAAGATTAGTTATCAGTAACATGCTTTTGAAAGTAAACCCATGATTTATATCATATAGTAGAATATGATAGAATAGAGTTGAAGCTTTTGAAGACATTGGTCTGTATCTTGAATTAAAATATTACTGATATATTTTTCTAGAAACAGAAGAAATGACTGAACAGTTTTAGCTAGATTAGAGTCTGATACATTCCTAAAAAATAATTTTTCAGGTGCTGTGTGATAGCTGTGTGTTGCAGCTGATGCCACAGAAGGTTTGTGTGATAGTGGGTCAAGTCTAGCCTTAAGCAAAACCAGAAGATATATCATTTTAGCAAGTAGACTGACATATATGTTATATATTTATGAATAATAATGGGAAATAAGAAAAACGACCATTCATAACAAGTCAGAGTTCTATGTGTTAAAAATATACATAATATTTTTAAATAGACACAAGACTTAAAATGACCAGGGGAAATATATTTGAGAAGAAGCCATGAGTATGCACATATGGAATATAACCACAACCTTCCTGGGAATTCATGTAATTCCCTTGTTTCAGAATTGGAAATACTGATTTAAAATACTGAAGGTTTGGGTTTAAGCTGCTGTCAAGATATGAAGGTATACCAATGAATTTTCAGATTTAGAACATGTATTGCCAAATCAAGCATAATTTTAAGCCCTTTCTGTCGTATAATAGAAGTTATTCTTATTTTTTATTTATTCTTAAATTTTTGTATTTTCCCTATTACATATACCTTGTAAGAAAACATGAGGCACTATATTGTCTTCCTGTCTAAAAAGCGTCTATGAAAGTCTTATTCCAGTCTGTGAAAAATATTTTCAAATTTCAGTTTATTCTGTTGCTTGTTCTTTTCCTAGTTATCTCCTGTGGTGGTCTTCCATCTCCACCAAATGGAAATAAGATTGGAACCCTAACAGTGTATGGAGCTACTGCAATATTCACTTGTAACACAGGATACACATTAGTTGGTTCTCATGTGAGAGAATGCTTGGCAAATGGTCTCTGGAGTGGTACAGAAACGCAATGCCTAGGTAACAAAACCAAATTTCTGTCCCTTGTTTTGTTTTGTCTTAATGAAACAGTATCAAGGACTAGCTCTTTTCAAGCAACAACTTTTTTAAATCAATGAAAAATGAAGGTATCTTAAATGTGGAAATACTGTGTACTGCATATGATTATGTGATATTCTACTAGCATATATCTTTCTATTAGAAAATAAATTATATTTTATGTTGCTGCAGTGCTTTTCAAACCAGTTAGGTTTTTAAGTGACTCAAATAATTATCCCCATTCACAGCACTTTTCTTTGTGGAACAGTGTATGATGAAACTAAGTGGAAGATAAGCCTCAGTTCAGGAGCATTCCTGATACATTCCAGCTACAAATGAGTGCTCAGCATATTGAGCATTCAGTCAAGGGAAGCAGACAAGAGATAAGTGAAGCAAAATCAACACTCTTTCAAACCCTAGGGTTTATACATTTTGCACCTTAACTTCTCATCCCTTCTCTTTCTCTCTTCAGATCTACTCATTTTGGTTTACGCTCCTAATATAGACATAAGAAAAAGGGGTTTTTTTTTTGAGTAACATTTGAGGATCATCAGTGGGATTATTCTTGGTTGTGGACAGTGTATTTATTTCTGGAGTCTGTTATTTACTTTGTCTGCCCTTGTTTTGCAGATTTTCTTCTTGCCTTATAGCTAAATGTACTCAATTGCTCTCAGGAAAGGAGTACTCTCCTCTTTCTTCTCCAAAAAAACACCTTTCTTCTCTGCTACTTCACTATATCATTTTAGCAGAAAATATGCCGATCTAGTACATTTCAAACATAACACTTTGTCCTATCTGAAGAAATTAATTCAAATCAAAAGAGAGAAAAAAAAGTCTTCTGAGCATCAGTTCTTTAAACCTTCATGCCACCCAAAGAAACCCTGATGTTGTCATTGCATGAACCAAGTAGAAATAAAGTGGAAAAGAAGTTTTACAAATGCCTAAAGAATTAATATCAAATGGTTGCTTGGAATTCTTAGACACCCTATTCCATTTTTAACTTTCTCAACATTAATAGTGTCACTGCATTTCTGTGCTCAGATAGACCTTTGGCTTATCAGATTACTGGTGCTCATTACCCTGTAGATGCAAGTAATAAGTCTATGCTGATTTGCATTAACTATCTAAGCAAAGGTACTTCAAAGAACCATCATAAAGGATATTTGCAGTCATTGAGCTTTGCGTTCATGCTCTGCCAAGGTGCAAAGCTGAAAGAAATGGCTGAAGTTCTTCTGAGCAAAACATAGCAAACCAGAGCTGCATTTTAAAACAGAGCAACATTCTCCTGGTAGAATAATCTATTAAAAGGAGAACATCTGCATCACAATATCTAGGTGTGATGGGACCACATACCAACTAAACTCTGTCTACAAAAAAAACAATTTCCAAGTACCAGTAATTTCATCTTAGAAGGTTATTAAGAATAGCATGTACTATAAGATGAACACAATTTTTAACAGAGTACTAGTGACAACATCCTGCATTTCTGGAGATCTTTAATGCCTGAAAATACTTTAAGAGAAAATATTTCTAGACAGGTTGCAAGTTACAAGACAATAATGCACTAACAGACAAAAGCATAATGATCTAAACTTGATGAAAAAGACAGTGGATTTATCAGCTCCATATTGACTCTATTCTTCATCAATATAGAGCAGAAAATTTGGTGGGGTAAAGGAGAAACAGAAATTCCAAGGCAGGAATAAAATCTCACACTTTGTGTTCTGCTTGCCCCATTGATTACCTTTTTTTTTTCTTTTGATTCAGATACTAGTCTGTAGAAGAAAGGAAAATAAGGATGGAATGTGTTCAGAAAAAAAAAAAAAAGGCATGATATAATATGTTCAGATCTGAATTAAGATTTTATAACTTTTCATAATGTATTCCTAATTGACTACTTCATTTTGCAACAGCAATGTTTGTATTGTAATTTTCGTGAATAGAATTTTACAGTATGTCAACTCTTAACATATGGATTGGTCAAAAATTGTGACCGTTGTCTCATATAGCTAACCTAACTTCTAAATGTCAGTTCATTATTAGAGACTTCCCAGCAAGACGCAGTTGTTTCTGGAAAATTTTGTGAAAAAGAAGAACAATTCTCTGGCTTGATATATTTTCACACCTTATTTTTCAATTTAAAATATGCTGTATTAAGAATTATGTCATTTTGATTTAAGATATAATGGCATAAAGAGCTATTACCCCTGTAGGTTTTTGCAATGTTATACCATTCATTGCCAGAGTATTGCCTGACACCTGCCTGTAATGATTTCAAGCAGGAAGATATGTGTTAACATTCATTCATTTTGAATAAACTTAAATACCACTTCATAATCTGATCGATAATAGTAGTATTTAGGACTTAGGTACTGTTTTTCTCTTTTGAAAGGCTATACACGGGATAATTTGGCTGCTAACATACACATCTCAATGGATTCTGATTGTATTATAAATTACTCATGGCCATAGAAGGCTGGAAAAGAGGTTTTTTCCTTCTATTCTGACTACTGAGAAATAAATTTTACACTGAATACCCTAAAATATTAGCTGTCCACAGCAGCCACAGTACATAGTGCATAGTGAACAATTCGATTTTATTTTCATATTTAAGAAAGACTATTTCCATATAAAACTTGAATTTAATTTATATGAATTCATCCTTTTCCTCTTCAGAAGTAATTTCCTGTTGGATTTTGTCTATTTCAGATTTTTACAAATCCACATTGAAATTGGTATCCTCTACTATTATCTTATCCTGTTGGTCACAGCTAACAACTTTTTTTTCCCTAACTGACCATCTGCATTCTCTATTTAAAATTGTTTCTACAGACCTAGTCCCACTTGCAATGAACACAGGACCTCTTTCAGGAACTATTACTGCAATAAAAGCAATGTTTCTCTTACAATGATTCCCAGTTCTTTTTCTAAAAACTTTGATGGACTTTGGTTTCTATTTGATTGGTTTAATTGTTGAATGCAGCCCTGTGCATTCATATGCAGCTAAGAACTGTTAAACGCATGGATCTACCTCACTAGACAAAAAAAATCACATTCAGAGCTGGCAGGTCATTAATCATTACTTAGTCTTTTCTATTTCAAAATCAGACAGGCTCTATAGTGCCACAAATACTGCACAGCTTGGATTGTGAAAGTCTAAATTTGAGTTATCACATGCATACTGCTGAAAGGCAGATTTCTGCTACTAAATCCCTTCCTGCCTCTCTTACACTCTCTTACATAAGGTATGTTCACACCATGTACTTTAGACACCTAATTTAGACTCAATTTAGAGTACAATCTAAGATCCTAAATTCCCAACAAGGCTGATGGAACTATGCAGGCTCCTCCAGAGTGAATTCAGAAAAGGTAAATTCTTAAACTTTAAGGTTAGATGTGAATGCTGCTAGTGATGTATTCCTAAATTTTGAGGACAATATGCCTCAAATTTATTCCAGAGGTGCCTTTAGGACTTACCTGAAGCCTGTAAAAATCAGGAGGCAAACACCCAGTGAGCTCTGAATGAGCCTTTTTTTTTCAAAGGAATGATAATGAGCTAGAGTTTCTTTTTACCTGTCCTGTACCTGCATGAATGTAATTCGGGACAGTTATAACTGAAAATAGGTATCATTTTATGTTACCCACTGGTCTGTGTAGAATTATGATTTCGGGCCAGATGAGTACACTAATTTCTGTACCTCAGGAAAGGGTTTGTCAAATCCATATTATTTGTCTCAAAAGAAAGCTAAAATCAATGACTGTAGTTAATGAGTCTAAGGCTAAATATGAGACCTAAGTCTTTAGGTTGTTTGTATTATATGTATTTTTCTTAGTTCTACAAAGATAAATATGAATTGTTAGGTAAATTTTTTTCAATTTCACTCAATTACATTGCTGATATTTTATCTCTTCACTTTTTTTCCTTTCAAAAATAAATTGCATCTATAAGTCACAAAACGTGTTTTTATGCATGCTTTATGTGTATGAGTGACCACATGTAGGGCAGAGAGCAAACTGGAAACTTTTAACTTTGCCTAACTCCCTCTGTACCATTAGTACCACTTAATCATGGATCAGTGTGTTTTCCTGAACAGATTTTTGTTTGTTTGTTTGTTTTGCTCTTTGTTTGTTTTGTGGGTTTTTTTTGTGGTTGGTTTTTTTTTTTTTTCACAGACTTTTTATGCCTTTCAGGTGCAAAACTACAAATAAACAAGTCAAGGAGATTCTTTAAAATCTAAAATAAAAAGTTAAATATAAGCTACTTCATTTTTAATTATATAATATGTATAATTCTCTACGTTTCTCAATGTGAAAAAATGCTGCTGCAGACTGTGTTTGTATAAAAATACCTGATCCTGTGATTGATAATTCTTAGGCAAATCACAGTATGATATTGTGATATTGGCTTATATTTCAAATTCTTATAAAAATAAGTAGAATAATTTGTATCTTGATTTACAAGTGTTTTATAATAAAACTACTGAACCAACCTTGACCCATATGAACAATTTTCTTAATTTACAGGTTTCACAGGTTTCTTGAGAGCATATTTTATTTAAAAAAATCCACTCACAGCCTTCCTAATTTTTTTATTCTAATTTTAGTTGATGAGAAAATTTCATAAATTTTGTGTCATTGCAATGCTCTTTCGGTTCTTGATTTTCTGGAATATTTAATTTAAATGAGTCAAAATTTCCTGAAAAAATTTTAAATACAGTATGTAGAATGATCTATAGATGAAATTGCTCACATAGTAAGTCCAGCAATTTGTTAAATCTCCCTTTGAGAGAAAAGGCATAATATTTTGCATTTTGGTCTATGACAGTTGGCACATCTCAGGCATTTTTTGTCTTGTAATTCCCTATGGTTACCTGCGTTTGGCTTCAGTGCATCAGCTGCTTTTCAGTTCTTCACTATTTAGGTCTAGAAAATTTTTGAAAAAATCAAACATATTCCTTTCTATTTCACCTCAGTCAGTCCCTGCAAAAAATTAGGGAGCAAGTATTAAGAATTAAGTCAATTTCCAAGCATAAGTAAAATAAAGAGATAATTGGGAACAAGCAGGATGGAACAATCAAAAGCAAACCTTAATAATCTTATTAATGCCTTTTCCATTAACTGTCTCATTGGATGTGGCCTTCAGCAGTAGATTTCTTTTACTTTGTATTATTGTGGTAAAACTTTTGAAAGTCTCCCAAAGTATCCTTGTGGCCAAATTGAAAAGACAGGGACTGGATGGGGGCCTGCAAAATGGATGGAAAGTAATTGAGCAAACAACCTCTGAGGGTAGTGTTTCTTAATTTGAAATGTGACTAGTAGCCAGTGGATACTAAGGATGAATACTGAGGCCCATACTGTCCAACCTCTGTCAGTGATTTGGAAAACAGATTGGGATGCAGCCTCAACAAGTTTGAGGATGACAGCATATGATGGGACAATAGCTGATACATGGATTGCAGTACTGCTAGGCAGAAGGACCTTCAGAATCTGGAGGAATGGGCCAACAGGAAGCTCCTAAAGTTCAGCAAAGACAAATACAGAATCCTGCACTTTGTCTAGAATAATGCCTTTCATGACTACTGGCCTGGAACTGGCTATGTAAAGACAAACTTTACAGAAGGCAAGCCTGGTGACTGAGTGGAGAGGCTCACAAAGAGTTAAAGGTGTAGCTTTGTAGTAAAAGCATCGTAGACTGGACTGCAGGAACAGCAGTGTAATCAGCAGTTCATGGTTATTATTTCCTCTTCAGTATTCATGTGGAAAAAAGTGTAGTTTTTATGTTCTCCACCACATAAGAGAGAGATGGGAAACTGAAGCAAGCTCAGGGAAAGGGCCTGTAAAGGATTTAGGGTCTAGACAAGGAGAGGCTGAGTGAGTGTTACTCTCTGTTGTCATATTCTCTGCTGTGAGGGGAAAAGTAGCTGTATAAGAAGTTGGGTGTGAAAAGCTTGCATTCATACTTTCTTCCAAAAATTTGCAGAACAATACCACAATGTCTCCTTATAGACATCATCGGTCCTACAATTAGGATTATTGTAATAATTCTATACATATGAAAAACCAAATCAATTGTCATATGTTTTATTCTCCTAGTGTTTTAGAGAAGCCATTAAGTGTGATTGTAATATACTGTCTAGCATTATTAAAGGGTCTTTATTAGAAAGTAGATTAAATCCCAAAGATAAGTTACAAATAAGTTACTGTTAATAGATACAGCCTGCATGAAACAGATAATCACACACACCCTCTATCATTCTAGCTGCAGTCATGATCCTCAGGTCCCAGTCCTCCCCTCTCAAAATGAGGATTTAGCATAGTCTCAGATGAAATTACTGCAGTTGTCACAAAAAATGAACTTTTTTCTCCTCCTTAGTCAGAAGAAGAGAAATAGTTTCCTGCTCAGTAACTCTGTTTTCAAACAAAATGTAAAATCCAGAAAGAATTAAAGCATTACATGGTTTTCTCTAGTGCCAAGACTGATATTATTGTGGAGTAATGCATTCTGTATTGTTTAACAGCAGCTGAAATAAGGAGGAAACAGTGCTGGTAGATGTTCCTTCCTTTTCATGCCTTCATCTATCTGGAAAATGCTTATAAATTCATATTCATGAAAGAATTACAGTAAACTCTTCCTTATGTTGCCTTCCAATTTGGACAGTGTACCTTGAAATATCCACCCTCTACTTTTTTAGGGTGAAGTGCCTTATTAAGGTTGTCATTTTCCTTAGAGAAGTCTGAGGTCTTTAACTTTCAAGCCCATACTATTATTTTATCATAGAGTTCTTATTTCTGTTATTCATGATTTTCTTCTTCAAAAAAGTAGAAGAAATGTCATTTGTAGGTTTTATACCTGAGAACTTCCTCTGCAAAGTGCAGTTCTTAACTCCAAATATGTTGTTTATTGAAAGGAAAGTTGATATTTTTTTTCTTGTAAATTTTGGCAAGGATTGTCAAAATATTTGGTTTTGGTGGGTTGTTCTTTTATTGTAGCTGGTCACTGTGGTTCTCCGGACCCAATTGTAAATGGTCACATTAGTGGAGATGGTTTCAGTTATCGTGACACTGTGGTCTACCAGTGCAATCCTGGCTTTCGACTTGTTGGCACATCTGTCAGAATTTGCCTACAGGATCACAAGTGGTCTGGACAAACTCCTGTTTGTGTCCGTAAGTACGACTAATTTTTCACGGAATTATTACTACTATTTTAAACACAATTAAACATGAACAGTGGATTGGATGCCAATCTCTAACCTAGCACAGACAGATTAACTACACTCAGTAGCCTGTGATATCTGTTGTTTTAGAAACAAGACGCCATAGACATTGAAGTGGGTTGAACTGCAGGCTGCAGCTGTGTAATTTATTGCTTTCTTTCTCTTTATCCAGGTGTAATTGTTATGTCAAGTGTGGGTTTACTGACCCTTTCCCCTATTTTTTTTCACCAGAAATAAAAAATTCCTTTGTATATTTTCATTGTTTGGTGGAAAAAGCTGGAATACTGTTCATCTGGGCAGTTTTGATAGTGATTGCCCATTTTTTCAAGCTGGCCTAGCAGTGCAAGCCCAGACATGGCATCAAATTATGCTACATCTGTTGGAAAATATTTTAACTTTTTTATACTCTTTAGTAGGATTTGGTTTTTTGCTCTTAATTCCTCTGTTTTTGAAAATCCCATAATTAATTGCTAGAATTGCCGAGTCTTTCCTACTCTTACTTTCTTCCTCATTTGCACAGTTCTGACATTTTCTGAACTGTCAGCCATTTTATCAGAATCTAGTCCAATTTCTCTGGGTTTTATTACACTACTTTACTATGTGGTTGATTTTATTTTCATTTCAGTTTTACTAAAGAGGCCCATTTTTATACAATTTTTGTCACTTTTAATGGAGTTTTTATATCATTTATTTTAATGCTCTATTTTTTAAGATGTCTGCAATTCAGACAAAAATATTTTTGTGTACACAGAGAGAATAACTGAGATGATCAGCTTTTCTGTTCAACACATTTTAGTATCTTTATTTCATTTCGGTTATATTATTGGTAAGTCATTAGATTTCAAAATATTCAGTATTTTCATTCTTAGGGGTAAGATGAAAAATTTTAACTGTATACAGCTGCAGGAAATATCTGCCAAGTGTCATTGTCCTTTTAAAATCCTATTTATATCTTCAAGTGATTTATATTCATCAAAGGAGAAATGTCACCAGCTAGCATTATTACTTTTAGTGATCTCATTTTACTGTGCAGTGAATAAAATCCCTTTAAAAGAAAGGGGCAAAGCTGGTGTGTGGGGGGGAAGGGGAAGAAGCAGGGAGCAGAAGGCTGTTTCTTCCTAAATGGGTGTTATCATTACTGTTATGGGAAGAACTGGCATCAATTTCTGTTATTACAGGTTGCCTGATACTTTCTATTACAACACGGTTTTCTTTTACTTATAATGCTGCCAGATTAAAGAGCCATACAAGATGATTTGTTTTGTGCCAACATCCAAACTTCAGATGATTTTCCTCCTTTCATTTATTTATTTATTTTAAAGAAATTGTCATACAAATGACTCTGTTATTTCCGAGAAGGAAATGCTAGAAATGTGTCATACTGAAATATTCTTCTGTCTGAGCAGTGTGGAGCATGAATAGAAATATGGCTGTAGTGGGTTGACCTTGTCTGGACACCAAGGGACCATCAATTTGCTCTATCACTCCCCTCCTCAGAAAGATGGGGGAAGAAAATAAGATGGAAAAAGACTAACAGGTTTAGATAAGCCAGTTTGCTAAAACAAAAGCAAAAGGTCACATACATAAGCAAAGAAAAAAACCCGAAGTTTTTAATTCACTGCTTCCTATCAGGAAGCAATATATGGCCACTTCCCAGGAAACAGGGCTTCAACATGCACAACGTTTTCTCCAAAACACAAGTGTCTTCCTCCTCCTTCCTCTTGGCTTTTATATCTGAGCAAATTTCATGTAGTATGGACTATCCCTTTGGTCAGTTTGGTTCAGCTATCTTGGTCATGTGCCCTCCCAAGGTCTTGACCACCCTCAGCCTACTGATGGGAGGATGAAATGTTGGGAAGACAGTGCTGATGCTGTGCCAGCACTGCTCAGCAGTAGCTGAAACACTAGTGTGTTATCAAGAGCTTTATAGCTACCCATACAAAGCACAGCACTGTAAGAGTTCCATATCAGGAAGACCCAATAGAATGGAAGAGGTATGACAAAGAAGTTAGGGGTTGTGCCCCTGAAAATTTGCCACAAACTGGTCTTTATTTTGTGAGATTTTAACAGAAAATCACATCTTTTATATTTCAAGACCTTTAGAACAGGGATGCCTCAGAACTCCATGATGTTCCAAAGTATTGCATTGAATTCAACTTTTGTCCCTATTAAATTTTTAAGTATGCAGGGGAATTTTTTTTCTTTAATTTATATTAATAGGAATATAGCAAATTATATACATTTTTTAAGATCTGATAGAGATGAGATGTGTATCAAAATGCATATATATAACTATTTTTATTACAACTTTCAGCATGAAGTAAAAAGTAGGTTCTAAAAGTTTTACTGAAAAATTAAGATTTTTCTCCTGGCAGTTAAGAATTCTGAATTAGTATATTCCTAATTTATTTTCCTAAATTTCCTGTATAAATATCAACAACAAATTCAGAAGGGAAAAACACAAACAAACAAACCAAAACAACAAAAGAATCCCAAACCTTAAAAGAGCTCAACTGGCAAGTGATTCTGTGGATCAGTGCCTT